CTCTGTGCCGTGCCAGGTGCAGGGTCTGCTGGTTGGGTGCTGGCAGGCTTGCACCTGGCACGGGCATCGTAGCCAGCCCGTGCCCCTTTAACGGGTCCGGGGCCGGGAGGGGGGCAATAGAGTTTCCCTGGTGTTGGCCAGAGTGGCCACCAGGGAAAGCTGGGGAGGGCTAGCCTCCCACCAGTTCGAATTAAGGGGCTACACACCCCTTAATTCGAACTAGTAAGTTCGAACTGGGCTTAGTCCTTGTAGAATGAGGTTTACCTAGTTCGAACTAAGTGCTCCGCTAGTTCGAATTAAGTTCGAACTAGCGGAGCGCTAGTGTAGCGCCTATCAAAGTTAATTCGAACTAACGTCTGTTCGTTCGAATTAACTTTGTAGAGTGGACATACCCTGAGAGCCCACCCAAGCTTGGCTTTCACTGTGGGAAACTCATAGACTCTGTCTCAGCCCTAATCGCCACCGAAGTTAACGAGCCAGGAGGAGCTCAGAGTCTGCTGTGATGAGCCACGAAGAATAGCCAGGTGGATTCGACAAAGAATAATGGATTCTCTGTCCTGTGCTCAGATCTTTGTGTGGTGACGGGAGAGCTCTGGGTTTACTTGGATGCTATCTCTGCCATTCTTGATGTGCCCAACTGCAGACGACCGGAGATACTTGAAGAGAACGCTCTCCAGGGGCCTGACTCCTCTCATTCGCCCTGGCGTAGGTAAGGAGTAAACCCACCAAGGCTGACCGACTGATCGTAACATAGCGTAAGAACCAGGCTCCTGGGCTACATCGACACTGCAGGCTTCTTGCACAAGAACCATTTTGCAGAAGACTTCTTGTGCGAAAGGTCTTCCACAAGACTGCGTCCACACTGCCATGTGCTTTTGCGCAAGGGATGTGCTTTTGCACAAGAGCATCCATGGCAGTGTGGATGCTCACTTGCACAAGAAAGCTTTGATGGCCATTTTAGCCATAGGGGTTTCTTGCGCAAGAAATTCATGTTGCCTACCTACACTGCCTTCTTGTGGAAGAGCTCTTGTGCAAGAGGGCTTATTCCTCGTGGGGAGAGGAATAACTCCTCTGGAAGAAGCCCTGTTTGTCAGATTTCCTGCCCAGTTTGCTAGAGTCACAAGGTTTAGAAGCCTCAGCCAAGCCTAAGCTCTAAACTGTGTGAAATTTGGCTCTTCCTGGTTCAAAGACCATGGTGGGGCTTATGTGCTGGCTGGAAGAACTGGCTTGGGATGGGGAGAGAAGAGAGAGAAGTAAAAAGAAAACTCACTGATGACACAACAGCTGCTTGGTACAAACAGCAGAGCTGTCAGCCTCCTTGGGCCCCGGGGCAGGATAGGGGGAGCCCTGGTTCCACACTCCCAGAGGGGGTGGGGCCAAAGGTAGAAGGGGTGGGGCAAGGACAGAAAGGCGGAGCTGAGGGCAGTCGGTCCTTAGTGCTGCCCAGAGTGCATGGCTCGGCGCTCCAATGTGGCGTTCTGGTGGTGATTTAAAAGGCCTGAGGCTTCAGCCACCAGCAGCGGATTGCTGCTTTGAATTGTCAGGTGCTGGGACAACTGCACCTTTGCTCTCCCTCTTGTTGGGTCTGGATACAAAGCCCTTGACATCAGTGGAGAATTCTTCCATTGAGTGCAGTGACTCTGCATCAGGCCGAAGGAGAGCGTGATGCTGGAGCTGTATCAGTACTGAGATGCTGCTACTCACGCCTCACGGCTGGGGCTGCGCTCACACTCCAGGAACAGGGAGGGTTTTCTTTCCGGCGGTGATGTTGCTCTCCTGGCAGAGATGATTTCCGGGAGGCACGGTCTGGCCCCAGCTCTGACCAAGGCGATGGTCCCGTGCAGCTGGTTAGCTATCCTCTGGGAAGTCTAAAGGCAGAAGAGGAAAATGTGCATTTCCAGGGTTTAAAGCTCAGTTTTCTCTAAGGGCTCTCAGACATGCTCCCCAGTTGAAAGGAGTCTAGCTGGCTAGAGAACAATGGCAGCAGAAAACCCTGCTTTTTGTTAGTGATGATACATGTTCTCTTATATCAATTTACATTCAAGAAGTGATTAATTTATTGTTAAGTTTCCAATGAACAACTGAAGGCTTCTTCAATACAGTGTTGGAATTTTAAATAATGAGCTGCCATTTATTTCCCCCAGAAGGCTCCATTCCAATGCAGCATCATGTTTTTCAGCAGGTCCTACTTTATTCCTTATTTTTCATCTGCATTGACTTACAGACCAGGCAGTCATGTGACTTGTCTAAGGTCATGCCAGGAGTTAGTGGCTTAGCCAAGATTCTTAGATTCTTCGTCCTTTGGTCAAATCATTAGACCCCCATTTGCATGAGCTTGACTCTGATCAGTACAGAATGAGCTTTCTGCTGTTGTGAAAAGGCTCTGAATAATCCTTTACTCTACATTTTTGCCTACCGGCTTTGACTCCAGCTTCTACTGTTATATCTTCATTAACTACTGTAACCTCCCATCTGCAATCTCACCAAAACCACTAACGGGGAAGGTTGAATTAAGATATGCAACTCCAGCTATGTTAACTATGAAGTGGAGTCAACGTACCTTGATCTGAGTTTCCCTGCTGTCCCCATAGTTTCCCTTAGTTCTTGCAGGAGTCGGAGTAATGTCTGCTGGAGGGGCACCCCTATGAGTTTGATTTAGAGGGACTGTACTAGACCTGCTAAATTGAACTCCGGAAGATCAATCATCGCAGCCTAGTGAAGACCTGGTCTGAATTCTTATCACTGGATCCTGTGCCAGAATTAAGCATGCATGTGACTGCCAACTTGTTTCCACTATGCCAAGGATCAATGCTGCAGTGATCTATCCACTGGCCATCAATTTATCAATCTCTGAGTGCTCTCCTGTCGATGCCGGTACTCCACCAGGATGAGAAGAGTAGCCGGCATCGATAGTGGAGCAGCCTCCATGACCTTACTGCACAGAAAACATTTTGATAAGTACATTGACTTCTGCTATTTGCATATCTGAAGACATCTAGCTTAGATTGACGGTGAGCGTTAGTACAGACAAGACCTGAGTTTTTACTGGGGGACTCAGTGTTATGGACCCTGAACTCTCGGGGCACGAAGCCTGGCTCTCCATCGCACCGAGCCCTCTGCTGAAATGCACTTTCAGTTTCAAAGTGGTGGAAGATTAGAAAAGATGCGAGCTCAAACCAGACAGCAGGGATTCCCTGCCTCTGAAAATATCCCACAGGGCCAGGCTGTTCCCCTGTCTGAGACTGTGCACTATTCCTATACTTCAGTCCCAAGAGATTTCCCTATATAGGAGAGGAGCCAGTGTGAGCTGAAGAAGATTGGATGCTGTCACAGGATAATGGTCAAACTGCTGCTAGGCAAGTCCTCAGGCTCTTACAGAATATAAACGTGAAAGCAAAGCAGAGCCGTCGACTTTATCAACAGGAGACACAATAAGAGACTGTTCCCTTTCTAGTTCTGCCAGTGATGTACTGAATGACCTTGTGTAATTGCCACCAGGCGGATCTGAACCTGGGACCTCTGTATAGGAGCCTCTACCCTCTGAGCTAAAAGCCAACTGGCTCCCAGCCCATGCTGTAGAGGTCTCTTGAGCTTAACTGTTGCTGTGGTCTAGGTACCACTTGCATTGCTCAGTAACCACACTAGGGCTATGTCTACACTGGCGGCTTCTTGTGCAAGAAGTCTTGCGCAGGAAAACGTCCACACTGCCATGTGCGAGCTGTGCTTTTGCGCAAGAGCACCTATGGCAGTGTGGACGCTCTCTTGTGCAAGAAAGCTCTGATGGTCATTTTAGCCATAGCGCTTTCTTGCGCAAGAAATCCCTGCTGAGTGTCCACACTGCCCTCTTGCACAAGAGCTCCTGCGCAAGAGGGCTTACACCTGTTAAAAAAGAGCATAGCTCTTAGGCAAGAAGCCCTCTCTTACCACGCCGTACTGTAATTCTTCTTGCGCAAGAGCAGGCGGGCAGTGTGGACACTCTGTGGATGCTTGTGCAAGAATGGCCATACTTGCACAAGAAGGCGTGAGTGTAGATATAACCTTTGTGTGTGGGTTACACATGTCAAGTCATTTCACCCCACGTTTTCATTCCTCATCCCCTCTCTTTCGTAGCTTATCCAACTTGAGGAGGACAGACGGACAGTGCTACGTTTTCCCAGGGAACTCTTACCGTTTCCAGAGCACGTGCTTCTTGGAGAACAGGACTTGGAGAAATCCGCTTGCCCAGAGAACTTCTCTGTCCTGCAGACTGCTCTAAAAATAAAGGCAACAACCTGTCATTGCACAAGCTATGCAGCAGTCTGTTACAGCAGTTCTGCATTTCCCCCCATCTGTTCCATTTGCACGTGATGCTACAATACAGCAGTCTAAAAAATCGGGCCAACAAATCTGCTCAAGGAGCCATGAAAAACTGTCATGGCACCAAGCGCTTCCTAACAAAGATTTTTAAGTATCTGGGGCCAAATTTTCTGTCAGACTGAAGCCAGCTCTTGAATTTGTATGCTCACTTTTGCCTGTGCAATTGACAGTAGAGGTGGGGGAAGGGAAGGAACAAAGCGCACGCAGAGGTGTTTTGTGCGTGCACACCAGTGGCCTGGTTGGTTGTGCAAAAGGCTGCCTACACACTGTGGCTGTGTCTACACTGGCAAGTTATTCTGGAAAATCAGCCGCTTTTCCGGAAAAACTTGCCAGCTGTCTACACTGGCCGCTTGAATTTCCGGAAAAGCACTGACGATCTAATGTAAAATCATCAGTGCTTTTCTGGAAAAACTATGCTGCTCCTGTTCGGGCAAAAGTCTTTTTCCGAAAAACTGTTCCGGAAAAGGGCCAGTTTAGACAGCACAGTAGTGTTTTCCGCAAAATAGCCCGATCACGAAAATGACGATCGGGGCTTTTTTGCGGAAAAGTGCGTCTAGATTGGCCACGGACGCTTTTCCGGAAAAGCGTCCTGCCAATCTAGACGCGCTTTTCTGAAAATGCTAACGGAAAACTTTTCCGTTAAAAGCATTTCTGGAAAATCATGCCAGTGTAGACGTAGCCTAATAGTGGCATGCCTGGTCCGGGGTGGGGGTACAATCAGCCACATGCATAACAGTGGGCATCTGGATTTGGAGGCCAGTGCTGAAAAGGGAAACTCTTTGTCTCACTTTTGGTTCTGGAAGGAGCCCTAAGGACTCTCTGCAAGGAGGCTGCCAGGAACAAAGGGAAAAGACTCGCCTGCCCACACATCATCTGTGATGGATGACCCCGGGGCATCTCAGAAGAATATTTTCCTTTGAAGTACTGCTGCTCATAGAATCATAAGGTTGGAAGAAACCTCAGGAGGTCATCGAGGCCGACGCCCTGCTCAAAGCAGGACCAACCCCACCTAAATCATCCCAGCCAGGGCTTTGTCAAGCCAGGACTTAAAAACCTCTAGGGATGGAGATTCCACCCCCTCCCTAGGGAACCCATCCAGTGCTTCATGACCCTCCTAGTGACATAGTTTTCCCTAATATCCAAGCTAGACCTCCCCCACTGCACCTTGAGACCATTGCTCCTTGTTCTGCCATTTGTTGCCATTGAGAACAGCCTCTCTCCAGCCTTTTTGGAACCTCTTTGGTAGTTGAAGGCTGCTATAAAATCCTCCCCTCAGTCTTCTATTCTAAATTAGCCCAGTTCCCTCAGCCTCTCCTCAGAAATCATGTGCTCCAGCCCTCTAATCATTTTTGTTGCCGGCTGCTAGATTTTCTCCAATGTGTTCACATCCTTTCTGTAATGGGGGGCCCGGAACTGGAAGCAATACACCAGATATGGCCTCACTAGTGCCAAATAAAGAGACCTTCCCCTTTCCACCCCCTGACATCCCCAGAGACCAAGTGTGCTTTGAGCCGGAGCACCTGCTGCGAGCTAGCACCCTTATAAAATGGGCAGAGCGCACTGAGTGAGCAGCAGAGGGAGTTTGCCTGGGAAGCGTCTGAGAGGAGCTCAGATGAGTGTGGCAGTAATGTTGTGAGCCGGTGGGGTGAGTGTCCAAGTGCCTGTCTACCTGTCTTATCTACTATTCTCCATGCAATTCCATGCAAAGCAGACACTATGCTCCAGATTAATGTTCATTGCGGGGTTCTGTTTAATGTTCATTGCTCCTGTTTCATTGGTCCCTACGCGCCCTCTGCTGGAGCCAGCAGTATATACCTTCTGCCAGTGGTTGGCCAGGCTGTTCATGGTACCCGTCTTCTGCGTCTCTGCTAGCTGCTTTGTCTGTGCTGGGTTTCCAGCTGACGGGGGAGAGTAAAGCCAATGGGGAGTCGGGGGTGGAGCTGCTTTCTCTGGAGAGGGCTCTTTGGTGCTTTGTTCGGTCCCTGTTGCAATGCAAAGGAATGGAAAATGAGGTGAGACGGAAACTACCACTTCGAAGGCTGCCCCATGTGCCAGCGTTACACTGGGCTGTCTTAACGGATATGCAACAACTCAGAGCCCTGGGAAACAAGACGATTGGGCTTCCTGAGCACTTGTGGAAACATCTTCCCTTTCAGCTCCCCACAACTGAATGTCATGCTGAGGTTTGCTCTGAACCAATACACCACCCCGAGACACAGAGGGGAGGGCAAAAGGGGCAGTTTGCCCCATGCCGTCTGTTTGAGAGGGCTCCCAAAATGAAAGAGGGGAGGCCAGGTCTAATTTGTGTGAGACTCACGGCAACCTGGCACCTGGGGTTGTAGTGTCACTCAGGTTTGGCACTGGCTATCAAGAGAGTGGGCAGCAACATGCCCTCCCCAGCCAGGACCAGAGTCCACTGTCACTGCCATTCGCCTCATCCTGCTGAGCCTCAGGTGACCTACTAGGCCGAGAGCCTGGAGGTAAGAGCAGGGTCAAAGGCTGGGGATGCTGCCCTCAGTGCTGTAGACTAGGGAGTGGTGGGGTCCAGAGTGCCTCCCCCCCCCGCCTGGACCCAGGGAAGTTTCCCCATCCCCACAGGGAATTCTGTGACCCCATACACCTGGGCTTTCTCTGACCTTCCATCCCCTCTCCTTCCTCTTCAACTCTTTCATATCCATGGTAACGTTTTGGAAAGGGGGTGGGGAGTGTCTCAGGTTCAGAGTGTGCCCTAGGCACCTCAAAACCCCATGGCAGTCCTGACACCATCTCAAAACAAAACTCAGCGGCTCAGTCAGCTATGCAAAATTTCATAGGCAGCCATGGCCTTGGTGTGAATTCAGTGCAAACCAGTTACGGGCCCATGTCCTCACAAAGTTCTGGGACAAATGTGGCGACTCTGCAAAGATTTCAGTTTAGCCATACAAAGCCTCAATGCAGGGAGGTTTTGGTACAAACTTTGGCACAGCTCTAGCTCGGTGAGTCAAGCCAGTTCCAGGCCTAGAAACCTCTGCAGTCATGTGAGAGATGCCAGGTACAATAGTGAGCATTCTTGTTAAACCGAGGAAACGTTTTGGCTTCCAAAGCAAACATGTTTCTCCACTGATCTCTTTGTGATCATTTCTACGGGCTTTAAACCCTTAAGGAATGAGCTGATTTGTGTATGTTGGCTAACCTGACATGGTACTTGGGTTTCACCAAAGCGCTGTGCTAGGTCACTACTTGTAGCAAACATCCTCCCCACCTAACCCCTTCCGATTCTCTTTCTCGCAGTTCACTTTCCCATGTGAAATGTGATCCATTTCCTGCAGATCCACTCTAATGACTCAGAATTCTGCCTTTGCCCAAGGTCCCGATGGCTTTGCCAAGAGGTGTTAGATCTCGAGAGGTGACACAGTGTGGGAACGGAGGTAAAGCTGGTGCTATTAAAAACCAAGAGTTAAATCCTGCCCCCGTTCGATTGGCAAAATGCCCATCTCCCATCAGTGGGGCCAGGATGTCACCCCAGGTAATTAGTATGTTAGCAGTGGTGCGCTGTGTGCATGCTGGGCATGTAACAAGTGCCAGGTGGTCCTCAGGGGTTGAGGATACACTTGCAGTCGGTGGTAGGGGTTCACTCTCCTGTTCATTAGTAGGGCAACCACTGTTCAGCCAGAGAACCAGACAAAGGGGACCCAGGCTCAGGAAATTCCCTGAACTTTGTATGAACCCCATCCCCATTCCACCCCCTGCATCACCAGGTGGAAAGCATTGATCCTGACTGGTTCCAACGATACTGCAGACGAACACTTTGTAAAGGCCTCCATCATATGCAGGCGGACAGATGACGAGGGAAGAAACAGGAAGCTCATAGGAGGAAGTTGGACTAAAACCAATGGTGCAAACTGTACAGGGATCTCCGCTTCCTTGGACAGGAGGTTCTCATCCTGGGTTGGCTCAACTGTGTGCCAATTTCTTAGGGGAGCCGTCGGGCAGCCCAACACCACCCAGTGAATTAAACCTGGAACAGAGCTTACTCTAGACTTCGGAGCCTCTTCAGTTCTTCCTTCAGGTTTTTATTTTCCTCCTTCAGCCTGTTCATTTCATTACCTGCGGAGAGAGGTGGTGAGTGAGGCAGGTTAGCGATTGGACGTGAACTCAGCTGGGCAAGATGCTGGGAGAGGAAAGCCTCTCTTCCTAAAAAAAGGAAGTTTACGCAGTTTTTCGAAAAAGGGTTTTTTCCAAAAACATTGTGTCCACCCTACTTTCATTTTTGGAAAAACCCACTTTTGAAAAAGTGATTGGAAGAAGATATGCAAATTAGTGAAAAATTGGCATATCTCCTTTTGAAAAAAACCCGTAGTCTAGACACACCCTTAAGGTAAGCCAACTCTAGCTATGTATTCTACGCACCTGGAGTTGCGTACCTTAAGTCGACTTTCCAGGTCTAGGGTCGACATGGCCTAAGTCGAATGCTCCAGTTTCCCTCCACCATTAGAAATGTGCACAATGAGCATTCCAGACCCATGTGGCAAAGGCGGGAATTTCTACCATCCCTTAAATACTGAAGCCATGTCTATATTTACTGGCAGATCCACGCTCCAGAGGTTGATCTTCTGACGTTAGAATTAGTGGGTCTAGCAAGGATCCACTAAATCAAATGCTGAGGGCTCCCCTATTGGTGCTGGTACTCCTACTCCTTGCGAGGAGTAAGGGAAGTCAATGGGAGCATTTCTCCCCTTGACCTCCCGCTGTGGGGATGGCGCCAGAGTTCAAATTAACAAAGCTGGAGTTGCGTGTCTTAATTTGAACTTCTCCTATAGACCTGGCAGGAAGGTTACTATCTATTGACTTTGTTTCTTATCTGCTTCATTTTAACTACCCAATCTTCATATACTTACTGATTCTCTCTAGCTCTCTGTCTCCCCCCCCCTTTCTTTTTTTTCCCTCCCCTTCCCCTCTCCTATTTATTTTGGGTGTGCACGTCCTAAAATCATAACTCTGGTCATCTGAAGAAGTGGGCTGTGCTCACGAAAGCTCATGATACTATCTACATGTTTTGTTAGTCTATAAAGTGCTACCAGACCATTTGTGGTTTTTTTCTGTAAGGATATGTCTACACTTGCTCCCTAGTTCGGACTTGGGATGCAAATGGAGCATACAAAAATTGCTAATATTTAAATCCCACGCTTAGTTAGCATATTCGCGGCCGGCCGCCATTTTGGATTCAGGGTATTGCGAAATAAGTTGCCCCATGAAGACGCGTTATTCCGAGAGAAAACCCTTCTCTTGGAATAACTGTTATTCCTCGTGCAATGAGGTTTAACAGATATTCCGTGTGAAGAGTTTTCTCTCGGAATAACGCATCTACACAGGGCAACTTATTTCGCAATACCATGAATCCAAAATGATGGCTGGCCGTAAATATGCTAATTAAGCATGAGATTTAAATATTAACAATTTTGGTATGCTCCATTTGTATCTCTAGTTCGAACTAGGGAGCAAGTGCAGACATACCCTAACAGACTAACTCGGCTATCCCCTGAAGTTCCTGGCTGTAGTTGACCTGGCTGTTCATTGCCTTCTATCTCCCCCTGCTGGAGCATTACAAGATACATGGACTAAAATGCCTCTGTCTGCCTACATATACACATTATCTATGGTGATGTCACAGCTGGGAGTTGTAACTCTTGAAGGCAGCATGCCCTCTGGAAATGGCCCTAGAGCATCTGTCTGTGGGTCTGGCTCTACAGTCTCTCTCCTGCTAGCATCCTCTTCTGGAAATGATCCTTCCAGGAATGGCCAGGAAGACAGCAGTAACTAGGAAGCTCAGGCTGATCCCCTCTTAGTAAACAGACAGCATCTCCTCTCCATCATAGTCCCTGCTTCACCCTCACCCTGATGGCACCCCTTGCTGTCACATACACTGGCAGTCGAAGCATGTGCTTGCCGTGCAATGTGGATATGAAAGTATGTTAAGTATGACAAGGATTCCTCTGGGCAGGTCTTTGGGATGAGACCATGAAACGGAAGTCTGCTTTGTCTACCAGGACGTTAAAATCCAGATTTCCAAAAGAGTCTCAAGTCCCTTTCCTTCTCCCAAAGAATTCTGGGATCTTTAGGGTGAAAAGTGTGTGCTTCTTCATGATTGCTACAAGCCAAGTGGCAATGATGGACCAGGAGAGAGATAGCTACAGTACAAAGGAGATATATGACACCAGTGTCTGGCTGTTACACCTGTGTGAAAGTGACACTTGAGGTACAGGAGCAAGGAAGATCAACACATAGGCTACGTCTACACTGGCATTCCTTCCGGAAAAGGGATGCTAATGTAGCACGTTGGAATAGGCAAATCCGCGGGGGATTTAAATATCCCCCGCGGCATTTGCATTTACATGGCTGCCGCTTTTTTCCAGCTTGGGGAAAAGCCGGAGAAAAGCGCCAGTCTAGACGTTATTCTCTGGAAAATAAAGCCTTTTCTGGAGGATTTCTTATTCCTACTTGAAAGCTGTTTGTCAGCTCAATGCACTAGTCTGGACGCTCCCGCGCCAACCTGAAAGCTCTTTATCGACCTCCCTGTTATGCCTCGTATGATGAGGTTTACCGGGGAGGTTGATAAAGGGCTTTCATGTTGGCAGGGGAGCGTCCAGACTGCCCCGATCTGCCGACAAACAGCTGATCAGCAGAGCGGGGCAGCCATTTAAATTTAAATGAAGCCGCGATTATTTAAATCGCGGCTTCATTTCCCTTTGCCGAACAAACAAATCTATATGGCTCCGTTGACGGAGCCATGTAGTTTAGACGTACCCTTTGATACAATCTCTGGAGTTTATAAGAAATGTTGATTTTCCTAGGCCTAGCTATTCAGATTTTTACCCCTGACATTTGGTCATTGACCCTGCAGGATTGCACAAGCAGTTGTTCCCACATGATCTGCAGACATTTAAGGTACAAACATGCAAAATGCCAGCAGGACAGAACGGAAGGTCTGTTTAGAGTCTGTACTTACTGAGGATGAAGATGTGCTGAAGACTCTGGAAGTGGGAGTTTTCATACTCATTTTGCTTCTTTTTGGCGAGCTCTTGAGCAACCATGCATCTGTCACAGAGACCTGCTCGCAACCTTAACGAAAAACCAGAGAGCCAAGAAGCGAAGTTACCCTTTTGTGGTTATATGAGCAAATGAAACAACCCCACCTGCATCGGGAGGCAGATCTACAGTCCCATGAAAGGGCGAAATCTGGCACTCATGGCAGTGATACGCTGGGCAAAAATCCACATGTCTAGTTTAGTGAGCCACTCTACATAGTGTGTAGAGCAGTGGTGGGCCACAACCGGCCTGCAAGCCAGATGACATGCACCAGGATTAGCCTCTGGTGGGCCGCAGCCACTGTCTTTACCTGTGCCTCTGCAGGTATGGGCGTTTACAGCTCCTGCTGGCTGCAGATCACTGTTCCCGGCCAAAGGGAGCTGTGGGAAGTGGTGTCCTGGTCCACGCTACTTCCCGCAGCTCCCATTGACTGTGAAGGGTGATCTGCAGCCAATGGGAGCTGCAAGCACTTGTACCTGAGGAGGCACAGGTGAAGACAGGGACTGTGGCCCACCAGAGGAGCAACAGGTAAATAAAGTGGCAGAGGCTCGCCCAGGCAAACCACCTCTGTCTTATTGCCCACCCAGGTGTACAGATACCCAATTCTTCCCTATAGCGATCACACGGAGACATGAGTGTTCAAAGCCGATAGTAAGGCAAGTGAAAGAAGTTTCAATACACTCCATGGACCAGATTAAGTCTCCGTTACACATACTCATAGAAACATAGGGCTGGAAGGGACTTCAAAATATCATCTAATCCAGAGCTGTCCCTAGAAGTTTTGTGCCCTATGACACCCCCTGTGTGGGGAGGTCGAGCTGAAGGCTGTGGGAGGGTGAGGGGCAGGAGACCTGGGCAGGGAGGCAGCAGGGTCGGGGCCCACCCCACACGCGTGGGTGGGAAGCAGGGTGACCACTCCACTCCCTCGGCTCCTAGCTGTGTCACTCGGGGGAGGAGGCTTGAGGGAAGCGGTGGGACCGCCCCTACACTCACCCACAGTGGGAAGCAAAGCAATGCGATTGGAAGTTGGTGGAGCAGAGCGGGCCAGGGTGAATGTGAGGGTGGGCTTCCCCCACCCAACCCCTGCTACCAGGCCATGTCACTGAGGGAGAGGGTTTGGAGGAAGAGGTGGCATGGGGGCAGCGAGTGGGTGGAGCAGGGGCAGGAAGAGGTGGGACAGGGCAGAGCAGGGATGGAGCAGTGGAGTGATCTTTGCCCCCTCCCCCAGGGATGGCCCTGCTGTGTGCTGTCCATGGGAAATAGGGCCGGCACCAACGTTGGTGTCACCTAGTGTGCTGCCTAAAGCACCACAAAATTGGGGGGCAATTTGGTGCTGCAAATTTTGTGGTGCTCTGTGCATCTGTATATTGGTAGGGACGGCCTCTGCAGTCTATCCTCCTGTGCTGAGGCAGGACCAGGTAAACCTAGACCATCCCTGACAGGGGATTGTTCAACCTGTAAACCACCATGAATGGGGATTCCACAACCTCCCTTAGTAGACTATTCCAGCGTTTAGCTACCTTAGAGTTAGAACATCTAACCCTAGATCTCCACTGCTGTCAATTAAACTCATAAGAAAAGTCCTACTAGGTCAGACCAAAGGTCCATCTAGCCCAGTATCCTGTCTTTCAACAGCAGCCAGTGCTAGGTGCCCCAGAATAGGAAATCATCACGCAATCCATTCTCTGCCACTCAGTCTCAGCTCCTGGGAGTCAGTGATTTAAAGACTCATAAGAACAGCTGTACTGAGTCAGACCAAAGGTCCATCTAGCCCAGAAGCCTGTCTGCCGACAGTGGCCAGTGCCAGGTGCCCCGGAGGGGGTGGACTGAAGACAATGATCAAGCAATTTGTCTCGTGCCATCCATGTCCAGCCTCTGACAAACAGAGGCCAAGGACACCATTTTATCCCCTGGCGAATAGCCTTTTATGGACCTAACCTCCTTGAAATTATCTAGCTTCTCTTTAAACTCTATTATAGTCCTAGCCTTCACAGCCTCCTCTGGCAAGGAGTTCCACAGGTTGAATACACGCTGTGTGAAGAAGAAATTTCTTTTATTAGTTTTAAACCTGCTACCCATTAACTTCATTTGATGTTCTCTAGTTCTTCTATTATGGGAACTAATAAATAACTTTTCTTTATTCGCCCTCTCCACACCAGTCATGATTTTATAGACCTCTATCATATCCCCCCTCAGTCTCCTCTTTTCCAAACTGAAAAGTCCCAGTTGCTTTAGCCTCTCCTCATATGGGACCTGTTCCAAACCCCTAATCATTTTTGTTGCCCTTTTCTGAACCCTTTCCAAGGCCAAAATATCTTTTTGGAGGTGAGGAGACCACATCTGTACACAGTATTCAAGATGTGGGCGTACCATAGTTTTATACAGGGGCAGTAAGATATTCTGTGTCTTATTTTCTATCCCTTTCTTAATAATTCCTAACATTCTATTTGCCTTTTTGACTGCCGCCGCACACTGTGTGGACGTTTTCTGATAACTATCCACGATAACTCCAAGATCTCTTTACTGATTTGTCATAGCCAAATTAGCCCCCATCATATTATATGTATAGTTGGGGTTATTTTTTCCAACGTGCATTACTTTACACTTATCCACATTAAACTTCATTTGCCATTTTGTTGCCCAATCATTCAGTTTGGTGAGATCTTCTTGGAGTCCCTCACAGTCTGCTTCTGTCTTGACTACCCTAAACAGTTTGGTATCATCTGCAAACTTTACCCCATTTTGTTGCCCAATCACTTAGTTTTGTGATATCTTTTTGAAGTTCTTCACAGTCTGCTTCTGTCTTGACTTTCTTGAACAGGTTAGTATCATCCGCAAACTTTACTACCTCACTGCTTGCCTCTTTTTCTAGATCATTTATGAATAAGTTGAATAGGATTGGTCCTAGGACTGACCCTTGGGGGACACCACTAGTTACCCCTCTCCAATCTGAAAATTTACCATTTATTTACCTACCCTTTGTTTCCTGTCTTTTAACCAGTTCTCAATCCATGAAAGGACCTTCCCTCTTATCCCATGACAATGTAATTTACACAAGAGCCTTTGGTGAGGGACTTTGTCAAAGGTTTTCTGAAAATCCAAGTATACTATATCTACTGGATCCCCCTTCTCCGCATTTTTGTTAACCCCTTCAAAGAACTCGAAGGGTATGTCTACACTACCACCCTAGTTCGAACTAGGGTGGTAATGTAGTCAACCGGAGTTGCAAATGAAGCCCGGGATTTGAATTTCCCAGGCTTCATTTGCATATTGCTGGGCGCCGCCATTTTTAAATGTCAGCTAGTTCGGATTCCGTGCCCCGCGGCTACACACGGCACGAACTAGGTAGTTTGGACTAGGCTTCCTATTCTGAACTACCGTTACTCCTCGTTCCAGATGGAGCTCGGAGTAACGGTAGTTCGGAATAGGAAGCCTAGTCCGAACTACCTAGTTCGTGCCGCGTGTAGCAGCACGCCTATTAAACCGGCTGCCTATTAATTATTTTGGATGTCCATATAAAACATAAACCAGGAAGTGATAAATAACACTCCCTTATTCAGTTCCCACTCCATTCATCATTTCACAGACCTCTATCAAATCCTTAGTCACCTCTTTTCTTATCTGAAGAATCCTAGGCTATGTCTACACTCGCGGCTTCTTGAGCAAGTACGGCCGTTCTTGCACAAGAATCTGCAGAGCGTCCACACTGCCCGCCTGCTCTTGCGCAAGTAAATTTACAGTACGGCGTGGTAAGAGGTAGTTCCTTGACAAACAGCTGATCAGCTGTTTGTCAAGGAACTACCTCTTACCACGCCGTACTGTAAATTTACTTGCGCAAGAGCAGGCGGGCAGTGTGGACGCTCTGCAGATTCTTGTGCAAGAACGGCCGTACTTGCTCAAGAAGCCGCGAGTGTAGACATAGCCTTAGTTTTTCTAAACTCTCTTCCTTCAGAAATTGTGCCGGGTCCCATTCCTTTTTGTTGCTCTTCTCTGTGGTATTTCCAGTTCTAATTTTTGAGAGAGGCAACCAGATTGGTGTGCAGTAGTCAAAGCGTTGCCATGCCATGGATTTGTTAGCTACCTTCCGGTGAACTGGTGAAGCAATAGGTCACATACCAGAGTTAGTTCTGCAATTTCACATTTGAGTACCTTCAGAACCCTTGGGTGAATACCCTGGGGTCCCGGTGACGTATTACTTCTTGTCATTGGCAGCAGGTAGAATACAACCTCTGGCATTGCTCTGGCTGCCGAACTCCCAGCTGTGGGGCTTTGGGGAGCAGTTTTGGATTTATCGTGATGCTCTATACACGTTTCAGAGAGGTTGGGGAGGCAATATGTGATACTGCCTCCTCAGTCGCTCTGGAACCTGCAGCAAATGCTTCTTCTAGGGAAGAGACATGCAGGGACACATGTTTTTCTCCGGGTGGCTTGAGGTCTGGGGTGAGGAGGCGTGGCTACAGCTGGTCCAGAACTCCAGGCAGGGGAGCTCAGGGCTTTAGCCAGCCTGGGGCTCCTCCAGCTGAAGGGGTCTTGGGTCTCCTTGGGGTGGGGGAGCTTCAGAGCTCTGGCCATGAGGCATGTGTGTTTTGGGGCTCCAGCTGGCTCAGGGCTTCTTCAGCTGAAAGGGGGGGGTGTCTTGTGGCTCCGGGGGGAAGGAGGTCTCAGGGGTCCTGCAATAGGGTGGGGTGGGGCATGTTTCAGTGTCCAGCTACCTTGAGTCTCCTCTGGCCAAGGGAGGTTCTTGGGATTGTGTCTGACTTAAGGCACCTCCAGCCAAAGGAGAGTCTTGTGGTTCCAGGGGAAAAGGATCTCCGGGCCCAGCCATCTGAGGGCTCCTCTGGCCAAGGGAGGATCTTGGGGCTCTGGCTGGCTCAGGGCTCCTGGGGCCAATGAGGGGAGCCCCAGGGCTCCTTTGATTATGTGTGTGGGTGTCTTGGGACTCTGGCCAGCTTGGGGCTCCCTCAGTGAAGGTGGGGAGTCTCAGGGCTCTGAACAGCTCAGGGCTCCTTTGGCTGAGGAGGTCGTCGAGACTCCACTTGCAGAGGGGTCAGAAGGGACAGAGCCGGGTCTAGCCTCCCCAGAAGGGGGCTCCACCCGTTACTCATGCTTATTGTCCTACCTTCAGCAGACATGGAAAATAATTGATCCCTGTTGCTGTAACCTATTTGAAGGTTCCCTTCAGTCAAGACTAAATATACCCAGTTTCCCTTTAGGTCAGGTTTCCTAAACCTTTTATCATTTCTTTTGCTTGCCTCTGGACTCTCCAATTCATCATGTGTGACACCCAAAGCTGGACAGCGGAGTCCAGCTAAGATAAGGTCTCGCCAACGCCAAGAAGAATGGGACAATTACCTCCTGTGCATTCCACATGGTATGTCTGTCAATCACAACCCTGCAATTGGAGGTACTGCAGTTACACTGGTGTAACTGAGAGCAGAGTCTGGCCCCATGGGTTCGCAATTTGCTAGCACTAGTTAGTGCTATCTTCCACTCCTTGCAATGGTGTTACAAAGAAGTTTTGTGTAGGCATGTACATTATTGGGCACAAAACAGCACTAGGTCAAACACACAAACACACACACTTCTTACCTGTTTTCTAACACTTTTACATTTTCTTTAAGAACCTTCTGCTGCTCCCTTAGCTGTTGGTTTTTAGCAAATAGCTCTTCCATTCTCTGGGCATCGCTGATCCAGGGGACAGCATGGGACAAAACAAGAAGGTTATTTGATTTACCCCAAACATCTGCTGCTTTGTTCCCAGTGTGCTGCCAGTAGCAGGATTCATCCACTAGCCCAGTCATGCCACGCCCACTATTATTATTACTCATCTATGATTGCTCTGTGGAGCAGTAAGTGAATTGGACAGATGGGGATATAAACAGATTCAGTACTGGCACCAGAGCAATTTAGTGCAAGGGTAACAATTCCCATGGGAGAAACAGGATGGGACACAAAAGGACACAGCCTGCTCTGAGCTCAAAAATTGGTGAACCAGAGGTGCACTGGTGAACGACTCTGTTAACAACAGGGGATGGAACCTGACTTAGGGCCCAGGGATAAATGATGAAAACTTCAACAGGATACAGATTTTGGGTACCACTGCTTGGTTTGTCATTTCCATGTAGTTAGGACTGGAAGGAACAAATTTTTACTGGAAATTGCTAATATATGTTAAATTCACTGTACACACAAACCAATGAAAAAAATATTTCAATTGGTAATAATCAGAATGCACAGGTAGGCACAGTAAGAAACATGCTGCTTGAGAATTTATTATAATTTAATGTAAGGTATATTTTGTATATTTTGTTTATTTTGTATATTTTGACACATGATATTGACAATTTGTCTTTTTGGAATATTGTCTACTGTGCTTAAATAATTATTGCCTGGCACCCTCATGCATAATTTCCTGACATGGTGAAGGTTTAAATGGATACAAATCAGGAAAAAATGCTTAAAACCAGAATTCTGCACAACTGTAAAATTTAAACTGATACAAATAAAGAATGCTTAAAAATAAACATAGATAGTATCCATCAAACTTATATAAAATAAAACACTGCCAAGCCTATATATATTGTATTGCAACAACAACAACCTCCCCAAACCTATGCATACACCTTAAGATTGCAAAATGACAATTACGCCGCAGGGGGCGTTGCATTAGTCTGTAAGTTTTCAAACAACAAGTAGTCCTGTGGCACCTTAGGCTGTGTCTAGACTACATGGCTCCATCGATGGAGCCATGTAGATTAGACAGATAGGCAAAGGCAAATGAAGCCGTGATTTAAATGATCGCGGCTTCATTTAAATTTACATAGCTGCCGCGCTGAGCCAACAAACAGCTGATCAGCTGTTTGTCGGCTCAGCGCAGCAGCCATGTAAATTTAAATTAAGCCGTGATCATTTAAATCGCGGCTTCATTTGTCTTTGCCAAAAAAACAAATCTACATGGCTCCATCGACGGAGCCATGTAGTTCAGATGTACCCTTAGAGACTAACAAAAGGGTCTCATGAGATGAAGTTCATTTTACTCTCGAAAGCTCATAATCCTTGTGACAGGGCATCTGCCCCGCACTGGCCTAGCAGGGGTTAAATCCAGCCCTGCGGGAGAGCTGGGGCTATGGCGCAAGCAGCTGTTGCATGTATCAGCCAATTAGGACCCAGCTGAGGGCTGTATAAATGGGGGCTCTTGGAGTGGAGGGGGGACACTCTTGCTCCCGCTGTGGAGCAGGAGGGACCTGGTTGCCAGGGAAGCTAGAGGCTTCCTGAGACAGAGTACAACGCGGGAGCTCTGGCTTGACCTCACTCTCAGGCTGCAGGGCCTGAGGCAAGGCCTGAGGATACTAGGGCTGCAGGGAGGCAGCAGATCCACAACCCTTGCCAATGATGAATGGCTACTTCAGACTGTGGTTTGCCCCTGAGGCAGCAGCTAGATGACAACTAGCAGTCGGTCACTGAGTCAAGGTGGGTGCGTCTAGACTGGCAAGATTTTGCGCAAAAGCAGGTGCTTTTGCGCAAAAACTTGTCAGCTGTCTACACTGACCACTTGAATTTGCGCAAGAGCACTGACTTTGTAATGTACAAAATCAGTGCTTCTTGTGCAAATACTTTCATGCTCCCGCTCGGGAAAAAGCCCTCTTGCTCAAGACAACTGGCTAAAATGGCGATTGGGGCTTTCTTGCACAAAATCGTGTCTAGACTGGCCACGGATGCTTTTGCGCAAAAGCATCCGTGCCAATCTAGATGCGCTTTTGCAGAAAGGGCAGTATCCAGAGGGGAGGGGTGCTGCATTGTGGGAGTGACACAGGTCCTAATGTAAAGTGGCAGAACCACTAATAACAAGGAATAGCAGGTGAGACATCAGCACTGGAGTACCCTCTTCTGGGTGAACAGTGCTATTCCCGGAGTGACCAACAGATGGCGCTGGGGTGGTGAGTTGCACCACGTTACAATCCTATGTATTTTTGATAGTCTCGGAGGGCAGGTCTACTAGGAAATCATTTTGAATGAATCACATTTGACTTAATAACCCCTGATTTTACAAAATTGAAGCAGCATGTGCCCACTATGGGGAAATCTTGAAATTAGTCCGAAGCAGGCTCCGTTAATCTGGACATGCTACCTCAATTTAGAGCCCCAGGAAGCACCGGGGAGTAATTACTTCGAATGACTCTGGGGAATAGTTATTTCAAAATAGCAGCACCAGAGTGTCCACACTAACACTGTTTCAAAATAACTATTTTGAAATTAGCATTATTCCCCGAGGAAAGCAGGAGTACAGATTTCGAAATAACCAGCCCGTTATATTGAAATAATGGGCTTGGTAGTGTGGATGCTCTGCTTATAAATTTGACCTAAGGGGGGCTATTTCGAAATAACACCTTAGTGTAGCCCAGGCTAAGTCGCCACAGGACAACTTGTTTTGGTAGTAAAAGGTTTGAAAATGTCAAAATGGTAGGGTAGGAGAAGAATCTCTCTGGCTTAATCTGACTGAATGTGTTGCAAAGAGTTTTTAAACTCTCACGCCATGCCAGTGCAGTAGCTCAGAAGTTCTTCATGTGCCTCACTGCATCTTAATCAGTTCTGAATGGACAACTTGGTAAGTTGAACTGCCCTTGCTAGGAAAAACTGAAAAAACAACAAATAGTCTGGGAGCACCTTAAAGACTAACAAAACATGTAGATAGTATCATGAGCTTTCGTGGGTACGACCCCCTTGCTAGGTGAGTGATTCAGGGCACTGCTGATTGCGTTGAGGATTATATTAAAAGAAGTCTGGGTATGTCTACACTAGCCCCCTAGTTCGAACTAGGGAGGCTAATGTAGGCATTCAAACTTGCAAATGAAGCCCAGGATTTAAATATCGAGGGTTTTATTTGCATGTTCCCATCCAGTTGCCATTTTTAAATGCCACTAGTCCGGACTAACTGCCCGCGGCTACACGTGGCAGTTAAACGGTAATTCGAACTAAGTCCTGAGTTCGAATTACCTGCTACTCCTCCTGGAATGAGGTGTAGCAGGTAATTTGAACTAAGGACTTAGTTTGACTTGCCGTTTAACTGCCGCATGTAGCCGCAGGCAGTTAGTCCGGACTAGTGGCATTTAAAATTGGCGACCAGATGGGAGCATGCAAATAAAGCCCAGGATATTTAAATCTTGGGCTTCATTTGCAAGTTCGAATGCCTACATTAGCCTCCCTAGTTCGAACTGGGGGCTAGTGTAGACATACCCACAGTGAGTTTGCTACCGGACTTGCCCTCTTGTTCCAGTTTGTGGGTTTTAAACAAATATTAAGGGTGCCTACAGCCTAGGGTAGATGTCTCCAATGTTATGAGTAAATAGTGCAGCCTTTCCTCATCCCTCCAACAGAGCTTTACAACCACAGCTTAGAGTACAGAACAAAACTCGCTTTACTCACCGACACTTCTCGGTTGTCAGCTCTGTTAGCTTTGTTTGCAGTCCTGGAATAATTAATGAAGGCTCAGGAGATGGGTATTTATTGCAAATTATGTGACAGTTCAGAAACAGAATGTACTCCAATAACTTTTAGCAGAGCACAGCAACTTAAAAGGAAACCGTTAGTTTTAAAATCTCATTTCTGAAAAACAAGGTTCCCTGCCAACTTAGTTAGTTTATTATAATGGAAATAATTTTTAAAAAATGTCTGTTCCTTTATACCATTTACTATATTTGCATTCCCCTTTGCTAGGACAATGAAAGCAGTCTAGTCAGTTTTACTTTTGTTTCTAGCTAGTTATAAAACTTGTCATAAGAGCTGTGCAAAATATTTTCAATGCAGAGTAAATTTCCCCCTCCCCCTCCCCCGGACCCCTCTGCATTTTTCAGGTCACTGAATTCTGGATTGAATTTGGCAAATAGTATTGCCTAAAAATTGATTCCAAAGAAAAAAAAGTTTAGATTTTTCATTTTGAATTAATGCTTCCTTTAGAAATGTAGCTATATTAATGTATTAAAACAAAACAGGATGATAAACACTCCAAAATGAAACCAAATGAAAGCCTGAAAAATAATATTTCTTTCTCCCCTCCCCCCTTTTTTGTTTCATTTGGGTGCTTTTCATCTGAAATTAATTTTTGTTTGGCTCTTGAACCAAAAACATCCAATGGCTTTTTTAGCTCTAGTTCTCACATTAGCAAAATTCTACACTCTTAGGCTTCAAACCATGTTGGCGATATTTGTAGCCCAAGTAGAATTCTTTTTCTTGATTGATTTAAAGATAATTTTTTAGGCAATATCTAAATTTTGAGTCTGAGTTGCTCAGAGTAGTCTTTAAAACAGTGGTTCTTAGCTAGGTGTATATATAATGCTGAAAAGACACGGATCTTGGAGGAGGCACATGAACTTATGTAGATATTTGCCTAGTTTTTTACAACAGGCTATATAAAAAGCACTAGCAAAATCAGTACAAACTATAATTTCATACAATGAATTGTTTACACCGCTCTATACACTACAAACTGGAATCTAAGTAGTATATTTATATTCAAATTGATTTATTTTATAATTATATAGTAAAATGAGAAAGTAAGCAATTTTCAGTAGTAGTATGTTGTGACGCTTCTGCATTTTTATATCTGATTTTATAAGCCAACCAGTTTTAAGTGAGCTAAAACTTGGGGCTACAAAAGACGAATTAGACTCCTGAAAGAGGTACAGTAATCTGAAAAGTTTGCAAGCCCCTGCTTTAAAATACCAGAGGGTGTAGAATTAGAGCTGGTGAAACTGTATTTGTAATCCTGAATAGGTTAAAATATAACAGTTTTATCCAAAAAGCTGATGCTGGAAATGCCTTTAATACCGGAACCATGGGAAGTAGTATCATATGCTTTCTTTTCTTAATGGCCTTACTTTGAATAATGTACAAGTGGTTAATGCTTTAAAGAAACAAACAATTGTAACAAAGACTCCTCATCTCAACTAGTGCTGAGCTATCTTTCAGGATGGATTTTTGCTTCTTTCCTCTTCCTCTTTGATCATTTACTACAGGTTGAACCTCCCTGGTCTGACACCTGACCGGTCCTGAACAAAGGAATTTGCTGGACCAGGGGAGGTAATGTGTGCTGGAACTCCACTCTCCCTTGGACTTCAGGAGATCAGCTGCCCCCTGCCCTTCTAGTCCAGCAATACTTCTGGCCCTAGTTCAGGATCGCCAACAATGACGAACCAGAGACATTGCTGGACTAGGGAAGTCTGGATTCTAGAGGTTCAACCTCTATTCAAACGAGTGTCCAATGACTGCCTACCTGAAGTCAGATATCCTAATAGGTAAACTGCTTCCCATTTACACTCTTCTGCCAACTCCTTATTTATTTCCCAGACAGGTTATTTTAGACCAGATTGAAGGTCCAGCTGATAACAGCAGAGTGCTTCCAACAGAGGAAATTCAGTCTGATCTTGAAGCAGGAAGGGGACAGAAATAGGATTCTTAGTGCTGTGTTTTGCTTGGGTGGGAGTATTTCAGGAAAGATTCATTCTGCACTGCTTTGAACCCCCTACCCCCCATGCCTCCCAAGTGGCTGGAGAGAGGTGTACAATTACATCACACATGTGGGAAGCACGCTGAGCACAGGAAATCTGACAGCATAAAAATAACAACTACATGAGCTTCTTTTCATGGTATGAAGTGTTGCTGATTTCCACAGTAAACCTCATGTTCTGTAAGGCTCCCAGGGATCCGTCTGGTACATTTGTCACCCAGGCTATTTTAGTAGTTGTCATATGTTGGCACCCAACCCCCGAAGTGCTGAGATTTGCATCCTGGGACATCTGAAACCTTAGTGCTTCCTGAACGTGAAGTGGCCTGACCCCTCTATCACCAGCCTCTTCATTTTCTAGAGGATCTGATCCTGCCTCTATGCTTCCCACTGGCCCAGATCAATGACACTTCAGCTGAGCAGTAGTTTCTTCCCTAGGTTCTCTGCTCTGCAGACACGCCACCCCAGCCCAAGTTCTTTGGAACTAGATAAAAGGCTCTGACTTGTTTCCACTCTTAGCTTTAACAAAAAATTTACTTTTGCCTCTTTGCAGAAGTGATCCCGAGTGCCTTCTTACCTAGGACCTCTTTCTCATGAATTTCTTTGAGCTTATTCAAGAAGTCTGCAAAACTTTCGTTGGCCATGTTCAGGGTCTTCCCGCATGCCTCGGGGGTACGTGAATCTTCTGCTCCTAGTTCTAGGTTGGTGGTTTTCTTATTGTTCAGTTCTTAGCCCAAAACAAAACACAACACAGACACAATAGGATAATTAATAGTGTCCCCTCTGAATCACGTTTCATGTTTTTGCAAAGGTTGAAAAGCATGACAAGCATCTAAGCTATCCAAATGGAGAAAACCTCGTTTACTCAACCGTTAAAAAAACAAGCAAGTACATTAACATAAGAACGGCCGTACTGGGTCAGACCAAAGGTCCATCTAGCCCAGTAGCCTGTCTGCCGACAGTGACCAGCACCAGGTGCCCCAGAGAGGGTGGACCAAAGACAATGATCTAGCGATTTGTCTCCTGCCATCTCTCTCTAGCCTCTGACAAACAGAGGCCAGGAACACCATTTCTATCTTCAACATTTGGAGTCAGATTTTCAAAACCTGGTTTCCTTTTTTGTGCCCAGTTTGGGGGTACAAATAATGGCAGGCACAATTCTGCACTACAACATGCACTCACAGATGCTCTTTAGGACATTAAAAAGGCCCACTATCTGACCGCATCTGCAAACTGTGGGCTTTCTACATTGAAATGACATGACTTATGCCACTGCAATTAATTGCTTCCATAAATCTGGACTGGGAATTATTTGTTACTGAAAAACTATAGGTTTGAAAGGGAGACTCACAGATCAGCTAAAAATTGGATCCCTTTTCTATGGATAGAGATGATCAATTTATATTGCTCTCTAAGGGTACGTCTAAACTACATGGCTCCGTCGACGGAGCCATGTAGTTTAGACGTACCCTTAGAGAGCAATATAAATTGATCATCTCTATCCATAGAAAAGGGATCCAATTTTTAGCTGATCTGTGAGTCTCCCTTTCAAACCTATAGTTTTTCAGTAACAAATAATTCCCAGTCCAGATTTATGGAAGCAATTAATTGCAGTGGCATAAGTCATGTCATTTCAATGTAGAAAGCCCACAGTTTGCAGATGCGGTCAGATAGTGGGCCTTTTTAATGTCCTAAAGAGCATCTGTGAGTGCATGTTGTAGTGCAGAATTGTGCCTGCCATTATTTGTACCCCCAAACTGGGCACAAAAAAGGAAACCAGGTTTTGAAAATCTGACTCCAAATGTTGAAGATAGAAATGGTGTTCCTGGCCTCTGTTTGTCAGAGGCTAGAGAGAGATGGCAGGAGACAAATCGCTAGATCATTGTCTTTGGTCCACCCTCTCTGGGGCACCTGGTGCTGGTATCAGGGCTATTTCGGGATACCAGACGTATCCTTAAATAGCTACCCCGCATCATTTGAACACGCCTGCTATTTCGAGATAGTGCGTCTGTTATTTTGGGACCTATTTTGGCATCCCTGTAACCCTTGTTCCATGAAGGTTAAGGGATGTCTCGAAATAGCGCGTTGTTTTGAAATATGGTACTGTGTAGATGCACCAAATTTCAAAATACGCTATTTTGAAATTCAATCAACATAAGATACATCAATCTGCATAGCGTAAATTGCATATCTTATTTCAAGTTTAGGATGTGTAGATACACACTAACTGAGTTTGATTAAAGTGGGTAGGTGGCTATTGCTGGAAAGGAGTGATAGGCTCTGCATGCATGTATGTGGGGAGGATGTTAATCTGCACATGGTGCAGCTGCTGACTGAAGAACCAGAATCAGAAGGAAGTCACTATAACAGCTGATCTCAACACCTGCCATGGAAGGAATCTGAAATGCTGCCTGTTCGCTTATCTCTTGCCTGGGGGCGGGAAGCAGACATGTACAATAAATGCAGCTGCAGCCTTGCTTTACTATGTCATCTTACATGCAGGGTTCTCAGAACGACCTTTCAGAACTCAGCCTTCTAACACTCTTATAAGATAGGGAGCGAAGAATTATCAGCCCATTTTACAGACAGGCACAGTGAGACTAAGAAAACTGCCCTAGGTCATACAGCAAACCTGAAAGGCAGAGAAAGAATCAGTTTCAGCTCTATTTAATTAAAAGACCTGAGTTAAAAAGCAGTTTCCACTCTAAGTGCCTCTCAGTAAATGCGATTTTTATACCCACATTAAAAAGGAGAATGGTCCATTGGTCAGAGGGGCATCTAGGAGTCCGGGATTTGGTTCTCTGCTCCCCTACAGCCTCTGATCTCCTCTGTGCCTCAGTTCCCTGTCTGTGAAATGGGGATAACCTTGCCCTGCATCATAGGATATCAGGAGGACAAATACCTTATAGATTGTGAGATGACCTTCCCCCCTCATGGGATGCGAGAGCCTGGACTCTGAGCCTGAATGTCTACACGACACCCCATTCCTCGGAAAACGCACATGCTCCTTTCTTTAACAGATAGCCCATAATTTTTTCCTGCCTCATCTGCTGTGTCAGGGTGCATCTACATTGCACCTGGAGCTTAAAATAAGCTACACAATTTGAGCTACGCAAATTGTGTAACTTATTTTGAGTCAATTTCGAAATTGGGCGCTGTCTACACAGCACTTATTTTGAAATAAATTGCTATTCAGAAATGTCCCTTACTCCTTGAGGAATGAGGTTTACAGGGATGTCAGAATAGCATGCCCATATTTTGAAATAATGGTATCCCAACATAGCGCTGCAGTGTAGACATAGCCTCACAGGGCCAGAGGAAAACAATCCGATATTCAGGGGCAAATAAAACTCTTTGGACATCACATGCTGTTATGTTCACAAAATAAACAAACAACCCAGAAAAAAATGTATGTTTATATTAAGCTCAGCTATCATAATCATTGAAAGTTACTGGCAAGAATCTTCAGTTAAAACTTTTAAGACAAGAATAATTTTTAAGTTGACACTGACCCTTTAATCCCTGAAGATATTTAGGGTTGCCAGATGGTTTAACAAAAAATATCGAAACCCTGCCTCCCCCCACAAAATGGGAAGAAATTCTGTTGAGAAAAAAAAAGCCCAGCAAAAGTTAATTCCTGGCCTGTTCTCCCTCCTCCCGCCCCATTTGACATGTCCAGTATTTTCTGAATTTTTTTTACCAGAGAGAAAGCACAAATACCGGTTCAAAACCAGACACTCGGCAACCCAAAAGATATTGATGTTGGCTCATCCTCTCCCTCACAAGCCACAATGTGCATATCAATTCCAGTGCACTGAAATAGTTATGTGCACCACTTCCCTATGCTACATGAGATCAGTAGTGATCAGTTATAATTACTGTAAGACGTATGTGAATGGAGATTTTTCCTTTAGATCAAGCACAAGGAGTCATATTCTAGCCCCGCTGTAGGTTTGATATTTTGGCTGGCCAGGGTGTGTGTGCAACCTGGCTACAACTACAGCATTCCCAGTTAGCCAAAGGTTTATTACAATCTCCTCCATGATTTCTGAAACTGAGAAAATGCATGTTATGAAAGGGAAGATGGCACAAGCTTTTGTCGTGTGAGCATTCAGATGAACACAGAGGTTGAGACAGCTTTATATTCTCTTTGCTGAAAATCACAGTGGATTTCTTGATAAACCTATATTAATTCCTGTGCAGAACAAAATGAACACAGCAAGTAGGAATGCAGCCATTATCCAAGCATAAATTAGTGAAGTTAAATATGAGAGAGAGAGAATATCAATATTTCCAAAAAGAAAGACATTAAAATAGACTGTAAGGGTATGTCTAGACTACAGGCTTTTGTCGACAGAGGCTTTGTCGACAAAGAGCATCTAGACTACATCCTGTTCTTTCAAAACAGCAAGCTGCTTTGTCGACATGAGAGTATAGACGCAAAGGACAGTGTAGATGCCATAATGCCTTCTGTCAACAGAACTCTGTTGACAAAAGGCGTTATTCCTCATAGAATGAGGTTTACCACCGTTGACAAAACTGTCGAGTTCTGTCGACGTTATGTCGACAGAACTTGGCGGTAGTGTAGACGCAGGTATAGTTTTGTCGACAAAAGTCCACTTTTGTCGACAAAACCCTGTAGTCTAGACACACCCTAAGTGCCAATTTTTCTTAAGCAGTCTCTGATATTTTGTACCCACTTTTTGCATGCACCTCTAATTGACCTCCTCACTTACTACTTTGGAGTGGCCTGCTTGACATGTATAATTGTCTGCACTCATGAAAAAGCCGTGTTATCAATCAGCTGCATTTGCAAATCATGGCCATGCAAAATAGGAGGGAGAGTTTGAAGAGTTATTGGTAAAGGGGCTAGTATTCAAGGACTTAGGACTGCCCTTGTGAGCACAAATGACATGTTTAATTTGCATGCAGTTACCATGTTTAGACATGCAAAATGGGAACCTGCATGTGCAGCTGACCAGTTAGATGCATAATTGATCACAGTACTTGTATCTACAGAATAGACATTAAACTGCACACCCAAGCTCTTTGAATACAAGTCTCCAAATGTTTCACTTGCTCCATAAACAGCAGGGATCATATGGTCTTGGAGGGAAAATGCTTTATAATGATTATTTATTTTGCAACCCCTTCCCAAAGGCAATAAAGAACACACAGCCTGAAGCCCAGTTATCCAGGTATGACTGTCTGTCTGTAACACACCCAAAGTGTGTGCGTAGCCAGCCTAATCACATACTTTGCTGGGAGTTGTGGCTCACATAGCTTCCATATTTATTTGGAATTAATAACCACAAAACAGAATTAGGAACAGATCTATTATATGGTTGTTAAGCCTCAATAAGAGTACTCTAAAAAAGAGCTTATGTAACTCTCATATGGATTACCCCATCAAAGTGTCTATTAAATGACATCAATAGGAGTTACAGCTGTGTGTCCAAGGGCAGAACTGGATTCTTCATTTTAAAGGGCTATCAAAATGTCCTCAGCTCCATATGCCTCTGTGGAAAAGCAGCATGGCCTAGGGAACAGAGCCGGGATTGGAGCCAGGGACTCCTGAGAAAAGCTGGGTGAATTTTTTCAACGGAAACTTTTCTTTTAGCAAAAGATGAAGATTCAATGACCAAGAAATGTTTTGAGAAGTTGTGTCGATTTCACTGGATTTTTCCAAATCTGCGTCCCAGCCTTCCAAATATCTGAAATCATTTT